TCAAGCGCACTTGGGTTATGCAGCAGGACAATGATCCCAAACACACCAGCAAGTCCACCTCTGAATGGCTCAAGAAAAACAAGGTTTTGGAGTAGCCAAGTCAAAGTCAAGACTTAAATCCGATTGAGATGCTGTGGTATGACCTTAAACAGTCCATTCATGCTCAAAAACCCTCCAATGTGGCTGAATTAGGGATGTTCATTTCGGTTATTTTTCCTAACCGACGCTCGTTAACCGATTATTAACCGTTAACCGACAAGATTATTTTAAATTCGAATTTAATTAAATTAGAAAGGATACATGTCTGTGACCCGTTAAAAAATACTAACATTTGCTTCCCGGGGATTAATTTTACATGCGCAAAAAGCAGCAAACAAAAGAACATGAGGATTCACATGGTCATATCACATCAAGCACCTGCAGCGCTTCTGCGCCATCCTATTTTTCTTTAGGCTTATTTTACAAAAGCACAAAGATTTGTTTTTATTGTGAATGTACACAAATAAAGGCAAACCTTTTACAATTCTGATTATCTTTATGACTAAAAGGAGTAGTTGCTTCCACTGTTAGAAGGAAAAAATTCAAATGATTGCGCCAGCGCCACATGCACGCACACAGTTAAGCATTGCTACCGTGACAATGCAGCCTGTTCATTATCATAATAAAATACATAGTGCCAGGCAGGTTTGGACAGCTTTTTTCCCTTAATAAATGAAATCATTATTTCAAAACTGCATTTTGTATTTACTCGGGATATCTTTGTGTAATATTAAAATTTGTTTGATGATCTGAATCATTAAAAGTGTGACAAATATGCAAAAAATGTAAAAAAACAGGAAGGGGGCAAAAACTTTTTCACATCACTGTATCACTATTTATTTTTTTGCATTACATAAGTTTTTAAAATATATAATCTTTTTTTATTTATTTATTTTTTTAATCGGAGGTTAAATATTACAAAGCTCTTGATATATGGCAATTTTCATGAGATTAAACTAGATGAATTTATGATGCTGTATGTGATTACTACAAAATATATATGCAGCGCTGCACTTATGAACTTTAATATGCATTATACAGAGGCAAGAGGAAAAGAAAAAATACCATCGAAAGACAGTTAAGTTTCCCTCAGACATACATTCATATAAACTCCTACCCCTAATTGAATCGCGATTTGTTTAGCATCTCAACCGATTTGAATCGTCACATATTTGAATCGATTTTCAACCGGCTCACAGTTAATCGTTACATCCCTAATTGATTATCAGATATATTGTAAGACAGGGACTCACCATACGAATAAATCCATTGATCAGCAGAGACAGAGCTCTTTTCTCATCATCTAGTGTTAGAGCACTACAACACAAAAACCACATGCAAACACGTCAATGTAACACTCTCTAATTCTGCATTAATGGTGAGACACTATAAAAAAACAGCTCACTCACTTGACAGAGTCATGCATGGTCTTACAGATGTGCAGCAGTGGGTTGAGGATGACTGGATCTCTCGTTGGTTCCTGCTGGTGTCTAAACAGAAAATACATCAGCCTCAACTAAGAGAGAAACCTTGTAACTTGAGCTAGAATTAACCGAACACTTGTTTAGCAGCACAGAGGAGGAGCTGTTCTAATACTGAATAGTGAGTGACAAACATACTTGATGAAGACCTCCATTATGGATTTACACACCTCCACCCTCACACTGTCTTTCTGGAACATGTCCAGAAAGGGCAAGAACTTCTCCTGCAATCATCAAAACATTATACATCAGCATTTTTATGATCATACTACTTTATTTGAGATTCCTACTCATATTTATTGAGATTACTAAGTATTTATTTTGGACAAAATCTGATGAAGAAATTTGTGATGTATTGGCCCAAAATGGATCCTAAAGTTAAATCTGATTTGCAATGACAATAAGAAGAATTTAATAAATTGAAATTGAAACAAATTCAACACACGGCGGAAGAATTTCATAAGTCAAACTCTAGCATTCTGACATAACAAATAATAATTAGTCAAATTAATTTGAATAATTATGCCTATTTATTACCTAATATTTAGAATGCATTATTTCTCTAAGCTATGTTTAGCACTGTCAAAATAACAGTAACCAAAACTACAACATCAACAAAGAATATTAAAAAGTTAAGGTAACACTTTAGTATAGGGACCAACACTCACTATTAACTAGTTGCTTATTAACATGCCTATTATTAACATATTGGCTATTTATTAGGACTTATAAAGCACATATTCTGCATGACCATATTCTATATCCCTAATCCTGCCCAATACTTAAACTTAACATCTACCTTACTAACTATTAATTAGCAGCAAATTAGGAGTTTATTGAGGCAAAAGTCATAGTTCAATCATGAAACTCTCGGAACATTTTAGCATGGTGATGGAAATGACAATGTTAATGTATTTGGTTTTGGCGGAACAGATCTGCTGCGCTGCTGCTGAATTGCTGCTGCTGTTGGTTATTGCTGTAGTTGTTGATTATTGCTGCTGCTGCAAGCAAGTACAGGAACTTGCTACTGCCAATGCATATGGCGATACGGTGCCATGAGTATTTAAGACATACTGCTGCTGCACAAATAGCATATAAAATAACCCCGTTGCAGATCTATACAGGTGGAGCTGGGGAAGGTGGAGGGTTTCAGAGAACTCTGAAAGCTCACTGCAGGAATCTCAAGTGAATGCTAGCCAGCCATATAAATGCAAGGCGGTAAGCTCATTGGCTGCATATGCAGCATGAACCAATCTGCTTGTGCCAAGTCGTTTAACTCTCTGAATATCATCAGTTACGTTAACACCCCGTCAGAATGCGCCATCTAGAGTTTCATGACTGAACTATATATTTAATGGTTTGTTAATGGCGAGAATTGGACCTTTAAACAAAGTGTGACCAAAGTTAATTGTAAAAATGTCATTTTAAAATATTTTTTATTGTTTTATTTCTCCATTTCACAGACCATTTGTCATAGATTAAAACATTCTGTTCAAACAGCAGTTCCATTTAAATTCAGTTTACAATTCTGTATGATTCAAATTCAAGAACTGGTAACCTCAATTCAAATCTGAATGGAGTACAGCCCTGCTAAAGGTCCTGTTTTCGCTGTAGTCATACCATTAAGAAGAGCACAGAGAAGTCATGGAAGTAGGTGAGGATCTTCTTTATCACTGACTGCAGCTAAAACACACAAAGGAATAAGATGAATTGCCATGACTTCATCAAGACCATCTGACATCAGCATCTGTATGTTTCTTACATACCTGTGGATATGCATCCTCAAAAGCTCTGTCTGGAGTTATGTGTTTGATGATGTCAGCAAGAACCGTATTCACCTCCCGTTTCTATGGGGAACAAATTGAAACAACATGTTAAAAAAGACAATTTTAAATTCTGCTCAAAAAAAATCTCAGCTATTCAGAACAGATAACTCACTGTGAAGTGACGGCAGGTAAACTCCACCCAGATCTCAGCACAGTTGATGTAATCCTGAGTTGAAGAACACACAGTACATGTGGATTTTATTCAATTTTGTGCTCAATTCATATTACATATTCTCTTTCTATACCGTGTGCCTTAAAAACATTCAGAGACCAACAGAGGTGTTTACCCTTGGACTGCGCACTTTAGTGATGACCTTCCAAGCTTCGTTGAGTATGGAGAGTCTCTCACTCTCTGGAGGGTCAGCAACGGACAGACTGTGACCCAGAGACGCAAACAACAGGTGCTGCAAAAAATACAAACATGAATATAAACTATGACATAGTCACTGAGCTTTTGGCCTGTCTGTGGACTGTAGATGTGTGTTTTGTCACCTTGGGAAATCCAGCTTCATCACAGTCTTTGATCATGCTAATAAAGTCTGTTGCTCTCGTTGCGACAAATTCTGCCCGGAATGCCCACATGACAGAGTTCAGCAGGAGAGCACTATGGGAAAATTAATGAATATTGCGAATTCAAACATAAATGCTGCAGCTGTGAATTCAGTACTGGATTTTTACATTTTCTGAAGATGCACGAACATGCAAAAGTCACAACCACAAAGCTAGTTTGTTCTGGGTGGTCGTTTACTGGTCAAAAGCGCCCACCACCAAGTTTCTGAGATATTCTGGTCTTAATGGGATTTTTTTTTTCACCTTTTTTAGGCTTTTTGATTTTTCGTCCATCTGCTAGGCTAAAATTTGCAAGTCACTCTCTTTTTAGCAAAATAGATCATCATTCCTGTGCATAGCACATCCGATCCAGGAATTACATGCTGAAGTATGAGCAATACTAATGTGGATTCTTCCCTAAGTTAGCATCCCTAATTATCAAGAATGTCTGCCTCTCACAAAGTCCAATGCGACTAAACAACAAGAAGGCACCAACACTATTCACAATGAGTCTCAAGCTTTTTCATCATTTTGGGTCACTTATCTCATGCCATCTGAACAATTAAAAATTGTCCTAGCATTAAAAACATTTTTTAACTTGAAAGGGTTCATAGAGATGCACTGTCTGTAGTTAGCAGATCTTACTTGTTGCCCAGCTTCTTGCATCTGTCCATCATCTCTGTAAGCAGAACCTTTAAAAGACAAACACATTTCGATCACATTTGGACTAATTTCAAAATTTTGTGACTGGAAAGAATGTTCCCAGCAGGGTACGAAATTGACTTTTTTCTTTAAGGGGAAATATTTGCATCCTGGATATTTTTTTTTTTTTTTTCATTTAAATTTCTCTCTTTTTTAACCTTTGTAAGGATTTTTTTTAAAAGAATTGACATGAATTTTAAATAAATAAATACTTAAACTGAATCAGTTCAATAAATTAGAATACTTTTAGGCTGTTACCAATAAAATAGGATCAACAATAACAAAAGCCATCTTTACAATGCCAAAGTGGCGCAGAAGCTGCATCTAACATGGCATGTTTATTTGCACAGACTGTTTAATGCTGCCAAAGTCCCTTTAAAGGAACACTCCACTATTTTTGAAAATAGCGCCTGAAAATAGTCCCAGCTAGGTAACTTCCAATAAGCCTATTTTCAGGCGCTGCGTAATATCATTGCGCCTGCTGCACCCGTTTTAAATAGGAAAAATATAGAAACTCTTTGGTCATTTTTGAGCGAGATGCTAACGGTCTAATCAGATTCAATGATCTATGCTAAGCTACAGCTAAAAGTGCTACCGCCAGACCCGGAGATCGGCTGAATGGATTCGAAAATGGTAAAACTCAACTGTTTATTTCTAGGGGAGTTGAAAAATTAGCCTATTTTCAAAAATAGTAGAGTGTTCCTTTAAGGCAAGTCATGTCACTCGGCGGCCATCTAAAACTGTTCGCTAAGCTTATGATTAAATTTCATATTTGAAATCACCAATGAAATCTGACAACTTCTGTATCATAAATGTTGTTTATTTTGCTCAAATATCGTTAAAAAGGCTTATTTCTAGACCAGCCAGTGCCCATGCACAGTTCTAGGTGCACGTCTCAGAATGCTTACGGTTTCTATAGCAACCCGGGAATTCTAAAGGCAGCTGCAGTGACGAGCTGACTTTACCGATTAGGGATTGGCTCTTTTGCTCAGAAGGCGGGGCTTCGTTCGATAGAGCGGCCATATTGAGTGTTGCATTTTTCCCCAATTCAAAACTATACGAGTGACATGTCTTGGGTATTCTATAGTCTTTGATGTTGCTCAAAGGTGACAAATGCATAGAAATGATATGAGATTAACGTAATTTTAAACAGCCTACATAAAGTATGCAAACTAAAGATAAAAAGTAATTACAAAGATGATTTTACCAAAATTATTATTGATATTGTAATAATGATTGTTATTGTTGATTATTAGAATACATACAAAACTTTTTTTTTTGCATGGGGAAACGGCATGTCATATTCTTATAGTCTACAGAGACTAGTTTTTTTTTTGCTTTTTTACGATCAAGACTTCAAATTGGTTATCGTAGCATCAAAAAAACAAAACAAAGGTTATTCAAACTGAGTTTAAATTATATACAAAAAAAAGACTTGTTTTCCATCACTGAAGCGATCAGTGACTTCAGTTCATTACAAGTTAACCGACTTTTGCGATCACGCAAAACTGGCATTTTTGTCCCAAGGCCCCATTAATTTCAGACCTTGGCTCCCAGTGTTACACTGCATTCCATTTAACTCAGAAAGTCAAAATTTCCAATGGAATGGAACGCAACTTGGAATCTTGTGTATAAATGTACAACTGTGCTGAGATGCGGCAATGAACATGCTGTCACATGAACACTGTGGCCAATAGCAAATGTCTGCATAGACAGGTATGTACTGTAAAATACAGTAATAATAACGCAAAGCAATAATCTTCTTTGTTGATAATCGTAGACCTGCAGGTCAGATGCAAGCATTGCACATTGTTGTTTGGTTTTGACTTTGAGACATTTTTGGTTGACAATCAAACATCTGCAAAGCTAATAGTAGTGCTGTCATCCTTACACATCCTCCAAAATGCAATGGAACGTCTTTATGGGCAGAAGTTTAAGTTGTCTGGTAGGAATATTCCATGTCTGACTTTGAATCGAACATTAAACAATTAGTCAAGCATTTCCTCTGAGTGGAGTGTGCGTATATACCTCTGGCGCTCTGTATGCCACACACTGCAGGATCCAGTGTATGGCAGGAGAATAGAGGGTCAGATAGATGGGGATCTCCACCCGCTGCAGCACCAGCTGATTCTGCACACTTTCACCGTGAACCTGACGGAATGAGGCCAGCAGGTCGAAGAAATTCTTATTGAGACTGTCCTTCAGATGCGGAGCCACCTTCATCCCCACCTGAGAAAAAGATAGAGAGCTAGAGTCTCTATGATATGGCTCGGGTCACTCCTTCAGCTTGAAACTACAGGGTTTCTGCTTGCTTTATCATCCACTAAATGCATGAAACACCATGCTATAACAAAAA